GCCGCAGCAGGAGCCACCGGGCGTGCTTGAAGTGTGAGCAGTCTGTTTATCCTGATTCGCGGATGGTTGGAAACCATCCGAAAATTTACGATATGAAGATTTGTTTCCCCCTCACCAGTACGTCTTTTCAGCTCAATGATGGCAGACTTGAGACGCTCCCTGTCTACTGGGTCCAGGTCGGGACGAACATGGATCTTCAAACCTTTCAGCCTATTTAGGCGAGACATGATCAGTCTTGGACTGGATTCGTCCACAAAAGTGATTCTCATAGGCCGGTTTTGTTGATCACCTTGCCTTCCAAGACGGGTAATCTGCCTCACTTTTACCGAATCCTCACCAGCGTCGAGGAGTCTATCAATTAGATCCTGTAAAAACTCGACATCGTGATCGTAGCGCACTTGGGGTGATGGATCACTGGACTTCGGTGCGTGAAAGATCACGAGATTATAACGCCTCTGGTCGGACGAGGTTGGCCTTGCAGGGCGAAGTATATCACCAGCGTCAAGTGGTTTGGCTAACTGTTGACTTACAGAACGTAAACGTCCAACGTTCCTTCGTAATTTCGTCCTCTGTTCTTTCCACTGGTCTTCAGCACTCAGACTTTCACCTGCTGGGACATCAGTGTCCGTTGGACACAACAAAGGTAAACAATTTAGGCCAGGTGAAACTGGGTTTCTCACAACGGTTGGACTTCGTGCCGGTGAGTTTGCACGGGTAGAGGAGGACGACTGAGTCGAAACCTGAAGGCTCTTCGCGCTAGGTTGTTGGGCCAAACACACAGAGCTGTTCGCAACGAAACGCTGAGGCCTACACGTCGGCTTTACTCTTTCTGGCTGTATCGTATTTCGGCAATTTTCACATAGAGTTTGGACGAAATCGTGTTGGATCTCGCGAAGACGATGAAAATGCTCAACTGATAATCCAACACATGAAATGTGGTATTTAACTCGGCACAAAACATACGTGAGGGCATGTGCACGGTATCCGACTAGTTTGGAGCAAGTACCACAAGATGACTGCTTCGGCATTGTGAAAAATCCGAAAACAAGATGGCGGCCAATTAACGGAGAAAATGGCGATAGCAAGATCGCCGAACCCAAGGGATAAAAACACAAGTATTTCTGGTCGGAAATCTCAGAATCGGGAATGAAAGTGAAATTGTATCTCAATTTCCACGAAATACTTCCAATGAACTCAGAAAGTCAACACAAAGTGATTTTGTCAACACAACCAAGTTTGTTTCTTGGTTTGGTCGCATCCGCCATCTGTTATTATTTCTCATCGGTTAATATCATTGGTACTGAGGAGACAATACGAAATGCTTACATCAACCAACTAGCACCTTGCTGTACTTTTGAATTGTGAAGGGAATCAATTGCTTTCATTTCCTACATATATTAGTAGCCTGCTTAAGTGATTATATACGCACACCCGGAGACAGCCAGCGACTGTTCTCTTCGGATTGACCCTGGGGCCAAAGCAGAGTATGGTCGATTTGAGCAGACGATTAAAGAAACGTAAGCACTTTCAAGTTAATTCTAGCTAGTGACACGCTTATAATTCACCCTTCACGGCCTTCAGGCTGAAGTCGGTGGGGACATGCAACGAAACGTTAAAAATACAATGCTTTGTCCGATACATTTCAAAACAGGATCAATGATACTAGCGCATCGACGTCATCTCCATGGAATTATAGTACATGCAGCCTTATGTGCCTCAATGGAATCCCCTTCGTAAGCCGTCAAGGTGATCAAGAGAAGCCGATGTAGAAAAGAAAAGTAAAATGGATGGACGTCATTGCAATTAGAACATGTCGCTTGTCGGTTCGCTTGTTAAACCCTGCGAACATAGATGACAAGGTACATGTGCTGCAAGGCCAGTGCGGTTGAGCTACAGGTGTACGAACGAGCAGACGATGTGACAGCCGTCGGATTACAAGGCAGGCTTGTGATCCTAAAGACCACGAGCCGGCAGAAAGTAACTTAGAGTAACAAATAACTGGGTACGTGGACCAAGCTGCTGTTCAGTGTAGTGTGTAACCGGGTCCATGAGGGTGTACTTGTAGTGAATTTTTTACATTCCGTCAACTGGTGGAAAAATATCACTTGAATGTATGGGGCAAACGTTAAAAGTACCGGCAAATTCGGAAGGATCCGCCGGAAAGCTACACAGTACCATACACGTGACATATGCGGCGGAGCAAGGAAATGTATATACAATGTAGTCAGGAGTCCCAAATATGCCAAAATACCAGTGGAAGCGACAGGAATCAGTTCGGACCGGATTTAGCCTAAGCCGTCTTAAATTTCCACTGTGCACCGAGAACAGTGAAGCTATTGGTTCATCTAGCCGATCTAGCAGAGAAAGTGCAAATTTGCTACTCCCAGTTAAAGAAAGTGGTAAAAGACCTATCTATCCAATCATTCGTCTCGGGTAAAAATAACTGGTGATAGGAAAGCAACAAAACAGTCGAGGAAATAAAAGGGGCGCACAGGTCAAACAATAAGTTACTTTCACGCATACCAGTGGCAGAAAAACTCCGAAGTCTTCGATCTTGAGAATACCGTTGACCTGGTGGATCACCTTTTGTTTTAAGACAAAAACTTCGCTGGCGTACATAAACACAATTACTTCACACTACGATCTCAAACAGCGTTCCAGTGACAAGTAAAAAAACACGTCAACCAGAGGGGCATAATCAATGTTGTACTGACAGATCTTTCCAGTAACTTCAATGGGATCATGACGAAGCATAGCCTAATTAAACATGGATAAATTCCGGGAGCACGTACGTTAAACAGATAGGTAAGCAGTGGTTAGAATAACTGCACATGGCCAATACATCAGAGATGTTTCAAATTAGAAGATAGATAGACAAGCGCATAGAGGGCTGTGTTTGTGGAGGCTAAGTAGCTCCCCGCTTAACCCAGAAATGGCAACGGAGAGCGAACCGGGAAGCATCGTCAGTCTGGTGAAATGTGAGCGACTGATCTGCTGATAAAGCAAGCTCATGCGTTAGTGATGTCTCATATGGGAGAACCCAATGGAACACAGGCGCAGTCACACTTAAAATAAGCGTGTCACAGTGAGTCAGTGTCAAAAGGACGCTACTGTAAGGTGATGCGAAGAAAACGTCAGCAAAATTAATGCTCCACGGAAGCAGAACACAAAGGCGGCTTGCAAACGCAAAACAAAAAGCTGTGCTATGCACATGTGTTAAGGCATTAGGTGACGAGCTCCTAATTTGCTGATAAACGAGTGAAGAAGGATAAGTCGAGGCCAAGATTCGTAGTTAGGAATCTGACAGCTAGGCGAGAAAGCTGAGTGC